AACACGTTTCTCTGATTCATGATACTAAACATTTTCCATATATCTGTTGGTCATTTGCATGTCTTCTTTTGAGAAACATCACCTGAGTTCTATTTCCCAAATTAACTTATACAAATTTAAAGTTTATACAGGTTAAAATTGTTTGAATAAATACATGTACACAAGTTAAATCTGATATATATCTTACTATGTAAAGTGAAAATTATTTTAAGGAGCACTGTATTCGACAATTCCAGGGAGTGAAGAGAAAATAAGAATATTATTGTTCACTGAAATTATACAATGTGGTAGTTTGGGGATGGTCTCTATATTAGCCAGGAATAATTTTCTATGTCTTGAGTATTTCAATCATCAATCTTGATTATAAATATAAAATTAAAAATTTCACATCCTAAGGTATTTGTATACATAGGTGGAGTAGATATGTGATTCATTTTAGGAAATTGAATGACAATCCTCACTGTAATATCAAGATGCAGGATTTTCCACTCATTCACTGATGTTAGATATTTTGGATATTTTCATTTTAACCATTCTGTAAAAAGGAGTCATGTTATTGAACTGATGTTCTGATTTTTATGTGCTTGAACGTGAATGAAGCTATATATCCAATACAATAATATGTATATAAAATTCAAAATTTGAATGAGACTAATTAGCTCTGTTTACAAATTTTTGGACTTCTGAAATTCATACTACCACTACCTAGCTGGCCTCATTTCCGCTGATCCCAAATTTGTAAAAATGAAAGAAAGGAAATAAAAGAAAAAAACTACAGATGTGACACAGTCTTTTTGTACAAAAATGAAATGACTCATCTCTTTAAAATCTCTACAGTACTGGGGATGGGTCTACATGGAAATAGAATCATGTCAAAGAAACAGAGTATGAAAGGTGGAAAGAGCATTGTCAATAACCTAGATCAAGGCTATCCTTTATGTAAAGATTGAAGTAGATTATTACACATAATTTTATATAGAATTTTTGAGAGCAAGTATTAAGGAAGGAGTTAAAACATAAAAGATTTATAATATAATTAAATCTGTCAATATGGACACTGGGAATATTGTATTTGGAATGTATTTACCATCAGTCATTGGTTGACATGAAGCACAATGTGATTTAGATAGGTTTAGAGGGGAAGGGTGTAATGAAATTGAAACACCAGTGCAGTATATCACAGATTTTGCTTAGTGTTCAGTAATTCTGATGGATCTCAAGATGGAACAGTCATAAGCATCTGCTCATGTATCAGTGTAGTCATTATATCCCTAAAAATAATTACTAATAATGCATTTTCTACCTCATAAATTAAAAAAATTGAAGTCACAGACAGATCAATTCACTGTGATTTGCACACCCTTCTATAGGATTTAATTTTCCATACAATTAGTTTTCACCAATCATATTCAATAAAAGGGGCCTGATTTGATCTGATGCTTAAATCAATCACTAGATGCTATAATAAAGGGGAACATCCAAAGGATAGGGGAAGTGGGAGCAGTAAGGGAAAGGAATGAAGGGTAAGGAAAAAATGGAAACAAAGACTGCCAATAGGAACGGTGGAGGGGTTGAAGGGAGGGTAGGAGAATGGGGAAAAAATAAGAACCAAGATACATCATGTAAAGGTACAAGTTCCCAATGATGAATGTAAATGTATTCTATACCTAAAATGTACCAATAAAAGAATTTAAGAGGGGAAAAAAAAGAGGAACACGAGCTAATTGAAAGGAATTTTGCATGTCTATATTATCTGTGACCACTGCCATCTGATTTCCTTGTACTTTATCGTAACTCCCTGCTTTCTGCCGTGTTGCTGTTGGCTGGGACTTACTGAGCTTTTATACCAACATCGAGTAGACTGTTACCCTGTAAACAACTGAAACTTACTCTGCACAGTTGTGGAGGTGGGAAATCCAAAATCAGGACACAGAGATTTTGTGTCTGGAGAGAGTCCACTTGGTCATTCTGGACAGCGTTATTTTTACTGTCATTACCTGGTGGAAAGGAAGGTGAGGTCATAGGTCCTGTTTGGGGGAGTCACTAATTTGTCTCTGTGGGCTCTGTCCTGAAAATGTATCATGTCCCAAAGGCCCCGCCTCTTCATTCCACCATTGTGAATTAGAATTTCAGTAGGTGAGGAAGCCAACAATATCACTGCTCAAAAGTCATCACTAGAAGAGTAGGTGATAACTAAAAAATATATGTTCATGAAGAAGCCCTAATTGCCTTTTCTCTAGAACAAGCATCCTTCACAGTTTTTTTTCCAACATGACCTCATTCCTGACTCATTACACTGTCCCCAAATCACCTTACCATCAGAGCTCTCTCTGGGGTTGACTTGTACTGTGAAATGTTCTCACTCAAAGTCTTTACACATTCACAGCCAGAAAAGCTTCCATGTCCAGGAATTTCACTTCTATAATTCTAGCAGATAATTATGAGCATCCTTTAGTAACACATGGCTTTCAAATGTAGGCCCATACCCATGTTCTCTAAAGGATCTGACATTGTTTGACCTATCCTGAAACCTGAGTGGAAAAATGATAAAAGGCAGATTTCAAGGAAATACAGAGAGGTGTGAGCTTTACCTTTTTAACATATTAATATCTATGCCTTTGTTGAATCATCACATTTGCATTCAAAAGCATTGTATATACTTTATTCAAAGGGATTATTCCTCTGTGTGTGTATACATGTGTGTATGTGCATGTGTGTGGGTGTGTGTGTGTGTGTGTGGCATACACCATAGCCATACACTCAAATATCATTTTCATTTACCAATATCAAATAAGCACTCAAAATCATTAAATAATCTGGCATATTTATTTTGATATTTTAATGGTAAAGCAAACATTTAAATATTTTTCCCATTTTGTATCTCAGATATAGTGTAGATGGTTTGGAAGAAGGGACAAAATGCTCCACCTTTGAGTAAGATAATGCTCATAATCTCTTACTACAGATACTGAGTAAAGAAAAAAGGATAACATTAAACAATGGTTTAAAGGGGCAATTAATTATGAACCACAGGAAAATATTTAACCAGGGCTGAGACTGGGGTAGGGTGAAAGGAAAACTGTTTAGGAAATGAAGAAAGAGTTCATAGTTGATAATTCTGACACATAAATATACATTGTTAGGACCTCCAAAATTGTTTTTCATAACCTAACCTGTTTAGACTTCTTTCATTACCTGAAGTCATGGATCTGCTCACCAGAAGACTTCTCTAATGGTCAAACCTTCTGCCTTGGGCCAGGGATGTAACCTGGAATTCTTTTCTCTCCCAAACAAGCAACATTTCAGAGTGAAAACTAAATATCCCCATCCTGTAACAAAAATTGAGAAAAGAGTTAAAATTCTATTTTGAAATTAGATCAATGAGCCCAAGGTAGAGTTGGAAGCCCAAACTGGAATCTGAAGAGTCATGAGCTGTGGGGAGACCCTGGTCAAAGAGTGACTGAATCTGAGTCTCATAAGGAAGGGGCCTTGGGGAACACCAGGTCCCATGCTCCTGGAATGCATGGTTAGAGTTTAGAGCAATGTTTGCAGGACAACAAGCAGCAGAATTAAAAGCTAGTTTTGTCAGAGAGGTGAGCTGTGGCTCATGTGTTCCCTCTGCCCTGATAAGATTATCTAAACTAGGGTGACCTGTGTCATGTAACAAACCATCCCACCCCACCCTGACCCTGAACAAAAACTCCTCTATAATATGTTGCATGATGCTTTTTGTCTACTTCTTTATTCTCATGTCCTTGAGTTACAAATAAATAACTGTGAAAGTTTCAGTTGGTTGCTCTTTCCCTGAGTCTCTCATGCCCAAGACACAGTCCCTCTGAGTTCTCAGTGATTGAAGTAAATGTCATCTCCAAGTAATCTTTCTCATCCTCTATGCAGCCACTGTCATGCATCGGGACAACAGCCCTCCAGGGGTCTAGCCAAAATATCTACTAAGTGGCCTTTGACAGTCTGGGACCTGGCCAGAGTGTGACCAATCTGGCAGGCCACTGGCTGATGGACACAAGGACTTTTCATGGGCCCTGTGTGAACATTGCATAGACAAGACACTAAAAGCTGTACCGCCTCCTACAGGGTAGAGATTATATGAATTGAACACTGCCCTGAGCTCCCTTTGACGCCCCTTAAAAACTCCAAGACAGGGAATCTCGTCATGGGGAGCCAATACAGAACCCACTCCTGGATAGTGGGAACTTTACTCCTTTGCCTTCATATGCTTTACTTTCTTAGCATTATATTTTATAAATAAATTTGCGTGTGCCCTATGTCCTCTGTCCATTTTCCTTCTATGTCACCCTGACTCGCAAACCTGGTGTCCCAGTAACAATCAATGGAAGAATTTGTCAGGCAGACTCCATGTAGACTTGTTTCTCTGGAATATGGGCCACACTCTCTATTTGAGGATTGTTTTGAGGCTTATGTGGATTGAGTGTTTGGTTAATGAATGCCTATTAATTCACCTTGAGAATAAGATTCTCAAACCACACTTTTTAAAAAATTTCAGAACTGTTTTTAACCTTGTTGTGGGTTATTAGAGTGCTGGGGTATCTAATGTAACACCAATTAATTAGTGACTAATGTAGCATAAACTAAATGATAAGATTCATCAGTAAATAAACTCCTGGATTTATCATAAAATACAAACCATCTACATCTGTAAGTGGATAACTAACAAGCACTCACTAAATCTTAGCATAGTTGAGACAATACCCAAAGGAAAGAAGTAACAAATAAAACTTTGGCACAAATGAAGTTTTCATTAAAGGCTCCCTGAGTTGGAGTACCCTATGTCGATTTAAGACAAATATTTAAGCATGACATACTTGGATATCTGCAACATTTTCTTATGATTAGAACTTAGTGCAAACACTTATTTTACCAGAAGAAATTATGTGATATGTCTTTGTTTCTTGTGAATCATGCAACATAATTTTACAAAAACAACAACCACTGGAGATACGTCTGTGTGGAGTTGCTCAAATTCATCTTTTATTTCTCAGTTTTTCCAGTGCTTCTTTCACATCCTTGTTCCTAAGACTATAAATGAGAGGGTTCAGCATGGGAATCACAAGGGTGTAAAACAGTGAGGTCATTTTGTCCTGATCTAGGGAGTATGAAGAACTTGGCCTGAAATTCATGAACAACAGTGTTCCCTGGAAAATGGCAACCGCAGTCAAGTGGAAGGTACAGATGGAGAAAGCTTTGAGCCTCCCCTCAGCAGAGCGGATCTTTATGACTGACAAGATGATATAGCAATAGGAGACCAGAACTCCGGAGATGGTGCCCAGTTCAATGAATCCAAAAACGGTGAATAACATCAGCTCATTGATTTGTATGTCAGAACAAGAGAGGAGAAAAAGTGGAGGTAAATCACAAAAGAAATGATTTATCTCATTGGACCCACAGAAACACAAGCGGAATGCTAAAGTTGTATGTATGGAAGCATCTGCAATTGCCAGTAGGTAAACCCCAGCCACCATCAGGGAGCAGAGCCTGCTGGACATGTGGGCTGTGTACAGCAGGGGGTTGCTGATGGCCTTGTACCGGTCAAAGGCCATGACTGCTAGCAGCATGCACTCAGAATCTACAAAGATACAGAAGGTCAGAAACTGCACAGCACAGCCAAAAAGAGAAATTGATTTATTCTTAGCTATGAGATCCACCAACATCTTGGGTCCAATCGCAGAGGAGTAGCAGAGGTCACAGATCGAGAGGTGGCTGAGGAAAAAGTACATGGGTGTGTGAAGCTGGGAGTCCATCCTGATTAAGAGGATCATCCCCAGATTTGCCAGGAGATCAGTGACATAAACAAAAAAGAAAATAGTAAATAGAGCCACTTTCATCCTAGGATTGTTGGTAATTCCTAGGAAAATGAATTCAGTCAATGAGGAGCAATTTTCTCTGTCCATTCTTCCTCGTTCTTGCCTAAAATTTTATAAAAACAATAGAAACTACATGTTAAATTCCTCTGTACAGTTACAATATATTTGTAAGACAGAACATACTTTGTTTCTGTAATTTTTCTTTGTTCTCCAAAAACATACCTATTAATGTATCATTCTTTAAAGAAGGAAGAAGGAGGTCCTGGAGGGGAAGGGGAAATAAAAGGAATTGAGATATGTTATATACATGTCCCTGCTCCCTGAGATGTGTGCCATAATTATGTACCTGCAAACATGCAACTCTCTCTAGGTGACAATGATAATAAAAAGTCAGAAAAGGCCATTGAGTAACTCATTTAAATATAAATGCCATGCATGAAATATGTGGCTTTCTACAAGTACTTGACTTTAGCTGGATCATTTCTTATTTTAAGAAGTGAAGTTTTACTGTACTGAAATCTTACTACATTTTTAAAATAGTATGATCCCAATACCAGCCTTAGAGAAACTAACAGATAAACAACTAAGCATTTGTTACGCTTGAAAACATTCATATTTCATATGAATTTCATATATGCTGTTCCTCAGAAATCACAGTTTATTTTAAAAACAGTTTTAGCTCTAGAAACAGGGTGCTATCACAGAGTAGTAGTACAGTTGGTATTTTACTATTGTTGGGCGCTCTGCTATTGATCATTGGATGACAAATCAAGCATTAGTAAAATAATTAGTATTATTTTTAGATATTTGTTATGATTCTGCCCCAAAGTTCACTGCATATTGGTTGGGGTGGACTGGAGTAAAAGGATGAGTCTCTTAATCATTGGAAGAGAAATGGTAAAAAGCAGTAGGTAAACTGTAATTTAAAACATACATCATATCTATTTTAAATGGAATTTTGTACTTAAAAAAGAAAACAGTAGGGATGACAATAAATGTTCAAAGCTATATAAGATTCCCTTATTGATAGGTATGTACATTCACGTTTATTTTCATACACATCCCTGTATGACTTTTTATTGATGGAAGAAAATTGGAATATGAAGGGTAGGAATTTGTAGTGATTTTTGTCACCCTAAGAAAGCATGTTGTCTGATTCACACAGAGTTCAATTTGCACCTATTCACATTTGTAATGTGGTACCTGATAATTTTTAATTCAAAATGAAACAAATAAAAATCTTTACATCTCTACATATATGTGTATGTGTGTGTGTGTATATATATATATATATATATATATATACTCAATTATAAAATGAGTAAATCCCTTCATAAGGACCTATATTAAAATAGAATAATTAAAATGTTATTTTGCAGATACTATATAAGTTCAGTAGAGTCTTCCAGTTCAGAGAAGTATCATTTTTATCATTACACTGCAGAATTTAATAAAATGATTCATTTACAGATGTCTCATTTCCTTACTGAAATAAAGTAAGTTTATGGTATTTTTTAACTTCATATCTTTAGCTTAAAATCTCAGGAACTTACCAGGGATGAACAGTTCTTTGAGAGTCGAGCAGTGAACAAAGCATTTTTATAGTAGCAGGTAGAAATTGGCATGAAATCTCTTAAAGCTTTGCCCCTAAGGAATTGGCATTAGGTAAACATGTGATTAATTACATTTATGGTTGTGTATTTTCCCCTGGGAATAAAGCAATATCACTAGCAAAATTACTTTAATTTTTAACTATTGTCATCAAACTAATCTATGTCATGATGAAAACTGAAACTTAATTTTATAGAATAACATATAGAGAATGTATATATCTATATATATGAGGCATATATCATACTCTATAAAATCTATATCCTTCTTGTTCAGTTAAGTTGGAATAATAAAGCACAACTGCTCCCCCATATAATAATTTCTAACACATTTTTGTTCATTTTTTATTTTTTCCTTAATATTAATAAAGGATCACAACATTTCAATGATATTTAATTGAGAAAAAATTCATGTACTATAAAATCCAGAATTTTAAAGTGAACACTTCTTTGGCTGTTGGTACAGTCACACAGGTGGGCAGCCTTTACCAGATCCGCTTGAGGGAATTTTCCAGGTTTATAAGAAGCACTCCTTAGTGGTCCCTGTATTCTCTCCCAGCCCTTCACTAGTAAACTTTATATTCCAGGTCTACAGGAAATGCAATCAGAGTGAAACACGTGGTGATTTGCATCGGTATTTTTGCCATTTAACATAATGTGAAAATCTATTCGTGTGGTAACATGTTTGAGAGCTTCCTTCACTTTCATGACCAAGTACTGTTTCATTTTATGGATATGAAGCACTTTGTTTATCTTGGTCAGTCAGTGGACATCTGGGTTATCTCTATTTTTTCACTGTTAACAAATAAGAGTATGAACACTGACCTCGATGAAAATGTGCTGTGCCAGTTTCCTCACCTGGCTTCACATTGCTGTGTTCCCATCCATATGTTCATGCCATCTCTCCACATACCATGATTCTGTGTCTGTGACTCATTCTGTATACTCAACATGAAAGTTTTGAATTATCCTTATTACACTGACACAAGAATCTCTCTACTAAATGTTTAGCTTTTAAGAATTTAGTCTTAAATTTATGTTGATATTTCTGTATTCCCTAGGATCCTAACAAAATAATTTGCACCTACTTCTTAATGAATCTGGAAAACTATGTGAGGCTATTTAAAAAAAAGGAGCTAGTGACCAAAAAGTAGAAATATATTGAATAAACAGGTGTTTTTCTACTAATATAGCTGACATGTATAAGAATGATTCATTTATAAATTATGTGAAGATAGTTTTTCTGCAATGTACAGTTCTAATAGTTTTTAAACTGGTTTAGTTTGCTACTATTTGTGCAAAATTTTGGCAAATTTTTAAAATATTTAAATATTAAATTTTTTATACTTCAACTATCAGATAATGAAATTCTCTATATTCTATGACCTTCACCCCCCACTCTATTTGGCTTGACAAGGCTGCTTCAAAAGGACCCAAACTAATCCTCCTTACACAATGACCTGATGGTAGTGTCTGCCATCATTCTTCTATATGTGTGCTCTCTAAGCAGTGCTTAATCCAGTGGCTTTGGTAGGTGGGTGCATAGCAAAAGAAATGGAAACACACACACACACACACACACACACACACACACACCTAATTACCTGCAGTTGTTAAAAACTAAGAATTCAGAATGAGAAATTTCAGAATTTTACCACAGACTGATGATAGTTTCTATATGATAAAGACAGCTATGTATTTTTGTAAACATATCCTTTAGAAGCACAGCCATCATTTTATCTCTTTGAGAATCTTGCTATCATTTGATGGCTTTGACCAACAAAAGTAGGCAGAAGTCACTCTGTGCCATTGTCTTCTTGGCCTTGAAGAAAACAGCCAGTGAGAGCCATGAGTTGCTATCAGGAAAGCAAAGCAACCTTGTGAATAGGGAAGGGACCCACACTCAAGAGTCCACTGGGAGGGGCAGAGCCCACTGATTCTGGTCTCTAGACTGTCGCAGCCATGTAGAACACGTCTAAAATCCAGCCCCACTTTCCACTGAATACCACAGTGCAACCTCAGTCAGCCAACATGAAGAAAGGCAAGGAAGTGTCCAACTGTGCGTAGGCCAATGTATTTAAGGAGTTTATGTAGCTAAAGGCTTTTAGAACAGTATTGATAAAGTATAATTCAAGATGATATTTTGAAGATTTTTGGTATGATGTGCTATATATATGCACATATAGAAAAGTGTACATGTATGTGCATATACATATGAGAAAGAAAAAAAATAGCATGTTGCTATTAATATGTGGGCATTCAGTCAATTATTTCACTGCATAGTGGATAAAAATGAACCCTATGGATAAAAATGGAAGCTTGTTTTAAAATTCAATTATTTGGCTAGTTTTTACCCATTCATTCATTTGAAAGCCATCGATATTCCTATCATGACAATGGCCTATAAAAAGAGGAATGCACTTGGGAGAAGATATTGTGGGATTTTTTTTTTTATAATAAAATTAACCATTAACTGATTACATTGTGAACAGCATGCGCAAACTCCCTAAATTATAGAAATATAGCATTTACTAAATTCCCAGCACAAATGAATGACTACTATTAATATTTTGTTTTAAAGATAGGGTTCCAGTTTATTTACCAGATACAAAGAGAAGCAATATAAATCATTATAAGTGGAATACTAACATAAATATTATTCTTTTTTCCTTTGATTATATATTTATGGTAGTAATTTTTTCTTTACAATTTAAATCGCATTGATTAGGGATTTGGTTAATTTTACTTGAAGTCGCATTTAATAATAATAATAATACAGTGAAATGCTATGAAGTCACAGATGGAGGGAGACGGAGGCCCCTTTCCCAGGGATCTGTGGGAAGGTCCAGTTCTTCATAGCCAGCTCCCATGAGCACTTGCTGCAGAGTGGCGGGAAGCCCCTCCCTTTGCTTAGAGTGGTCTTGGAAGGGAAGCGCAGAGACTGAGGCTTGACTGCAAGTTTCATGAAGACAGTGAAGCTGCTGGTCCTGGGGGGCTGCTGATAAAACTATGGCAGGCTCCTGGGGAGCTGGGAGTCTGAGAAGAGATGTTCTTTACGTCAAAAGACTCCTGCTCCTATCATTTCACTCAGCCTAGGTGAAGAGGGGCACCGAGGAAGATTTCATTGAAGGTTAACTAAAATGAAAGATGGGGAATTGTTTCCCCATAAGTATGTAAAATCTGCTTTCCTCATGAGGACTGCAGGGGACTTTGTTCATTCAGTGAGTGTTGCTGAGTGGCACTCTGCTTTGGAATATCATGATAACAAAGCCAAACGCAGTGCAAGATAGGAAAGACAAGAGTGTTAGCTTTGTGTAATTTTGAGTCTAAAATAAGAGATCATTTGTTCGTTTTTATTTATTTTCTACATACTTATTTCTATTTGCTATAATAGACATTTTCAAGGTGATCATACAAACAAAGGAGACAAACAAAACTAAATTTCATCCTGTGAACATTCCTTCTGGCTCAGCCATTTTATTTATTATACCCATTTTTAAAATTGCAAACGTATAAAGAAGATGATGAATTGTCTGAGGGGACAGTTTGCAAAGCCTAGGGACACCTCACTGGGGTACACTTATCAGTGAGGGGGGAGGCCTGACAGGACCCTGTTTGCAAACCATCAAAATGATGCTCTTTCTATTTTGCCTTAGCTTAGAAGGAAGACAATGTCAAATTACTGCTCCTCACACTCAATAAAGGCAAAATAATAAGTCATGGAAAACATCCTGAAGGTTGGATTGTGGAGAAACCACGAGTAAGTACTTGAACTTTATTCTCTGAAATTTCAGTCCATTTTGTATGGGAAAGGTGATTTTACCCATTGCACCATGTGGTGCTGATTGCTTTTTTCAGAGCAGCCTTCACATCCTTATTCCTTAAGCTGTAGATCAGGGGGTTGAGCATCGGGATGATGACTGTGTAGAACACAGAGGCCATCTTGTCCGTGTCCATGGAGTAACTGGAGCTGGGTCGGAAATACATGAACAGGAGGGTACCATGAAACACGGCCACAGCTGCGAGGTGGGAGCCACATGTGGAGAAGGCTTTGCGTCTGCCCTCAGCTGAGTTCAACCTGAAGATGGTGGTGATGATGGAGCTGTAGGAGAGGAGGACAGTGACGACACTGCACCCCACGACACAGCCAATGAAAGCAAACATCACTATTTCGTTGATGGATGTGTCTGTGCAAGACAGGGCCAGCAAGGGCGGGATGTCACAGAAAAAGTGATTGATGACATTTGTGTTGCAGAAGGACAACCGGAATGTGCAGCTAGTGTGGATGGCTGAATCCACCAAGCCTACGATATAGACGCAGGCCACTAGCTGGGTGCAGACCCTCCTAGACATTGTGATGGTATAAAGAAGTGGATTGCAAATGGCAATGTAACGGTCATAGGCCATGACAGCCAACATGAGACATTCCACATCTGCAAAGGCTCCAAAAAAATACATTTGAATAGCACATAAATTATATGGAATTCTCTTCTGCTCAGATAGGAAATCAGCCAGCATCTTGGGAGAGATAGTTGAGGAATAGCAGACATCACAGAAAGACAGATTGCCCAGGAAATAATACATGGGAGTGTGTAGCCTGGGGTCCACATTGATGAGCAGGATCATCCCTAGATTGGCCATCACAGTCACACCATAAACAAGGAGGAAGAGCATGAAGAGTCCCCCCTGCAAGTCCTTTCTGCTGGAAAGTCCCAAGAACACAAATTCAGCAAACACAGTACAGTTCCCCTCTGCCATTGCTCAGATCTGGAGGTTCCTGGGTGTGAAAAATGGAAAAGCACATAGAAGGTTTTCATACTCTGATTGTGTTCACAGTTAATTTTTGGTTCTTTTGTTCATAATCAAAAACAAATGTCATAACAATCATTTAAAAGTATGCTACCCTTATTGGAAGTATACCCATTTTTGTGTAAAGAATTATATTTATATTCTTCTGTATAGTTGATGTAGCACACATTCATCTAAACTCAATCATGCTATTTCCATTTACACCTGTGTAGCCATGGAGACACATGCCTGTGATTGGGCCTTCTGGGAGGCTCAGGCAGAAGGATAACAATACCAAGCCCAACTCGGTGAACCTAATCCCTTTACTCAAAATAAAAAAAATAAAATTAAAAAATTAAATAAGAACTTTTGATGAAATTTAGTGGCAAAGACCTAGATTCAATAAGTGAGAGAGAGAGAGGGAGGGAGAGAGAGAGAGGAGATGAGTAGAGAAGGGGGAGAGAACTGTGTATTATTATTATTTAGGGTAATTTTTATATCTTTCTTAAAAATGAAGAAATTGATGTCTTTAAAAGTGAAGGTAATAGTTCTAATAATTAGTTATTCCAGATTACACACATCTCTTGGTAAGACTGTTGTCAATTTTGTAGAAATACTGTCTCACCTATCATACAGTGGTATAGTTAATTGAGGAGTGCATATAATGAATATATCTTGTCTTTTCCCCTTCATACCTAAAATCATGGCACAGATAGAGCTCAGGCAGAGCTATTCCTGGCTGTTACATCCTCACTCTTTCCTATCGGACACACAGATACTGTCTAGCTTCCGGAAGGAAGTCTGCACCTCATCCTCACTAGGAATGACAGTGTCTGTGGGTTAGGACCTGCTGGAGCAAGCAGGTTGGTGCTTGCTCTAGATATAGATGGAGATGTCTCCACGAGGCATAACTATGAGGACAGCACTGATATGATAGTGTCCCCCTCCCCTTCTGAAGCTGCTGTTGTCCGGGTGTTATTCTGTATTTTAAACCTAATAGCAGAGATATTGGCAGCAAAGGAGACGCAAATGTAAGCAAAGTTTTGTGGTTTACTAGATAAGCACATCTTAGCAACTAAAATCCACGTCATCCATTCACAACCATCAGAAGTGGGCAATGTAAGAAAAAAAAAATCCCCCTTTTCTGTCCCATAACCTCCAAGAAATTTGTTCCTAAGAGGCATTCTTTTTAGTAGTTCTTCAGAGTATATTATACTTTTTGTTGTTTTCTTGGATGCCTATTTCTGTTGTACACCAATGAAATCTGCCAATCTTTAGATAAAACCAGTGAGTTTTCCCTAAGAGGGCAAATGAATTCTAGGACTCACCATTATAGTTTACAAATCAAATCTTATATCACATGATAATATTCATGTCTATGGGACACATAATAAAGGTGGAATTAAAGGTAGGCGAGGGCCGGAGATTTAGCTCAGTGGTTTTGCTGCCTGCTGCGCAAGAGCAAGGACCTGAGTTCAATCCCCGGGACCAAAAAAAAAAAAAGGTAGGTGAATTTTAAAAAGATAAAATATTAATACAAAGATTAATTGCAAGTCTCAAAATCTTGACATAAACTCATTTAAATATCTATAGGCAGATCTTTTGATGATTACATTTATAATATGATTACATTCTTTCAAATGTATGAAAATACTAGTAGCATATTAAAAACAATATATGGTGCTTTGTCACCCCTGCAATCATGTTAACTCTGCTTTCCTATTATCTATGTATAGCTATTAAAATGCTAATGTGTAAAGAAATTAGAATTGATGTTTGCATCTTCTCATAGTATCATTTTGTTTCATATAAGTGTTTATTGAAAAAAATTAAAAATGTGCGAGTGAGAAAATCACCAAGAAACATCAGTACATGATGCAGCACCAGTGATGTCGTCAGCAGATTTCGCTCTCTCTGCAAAGGGAGCACCACTGCCTCCTTCCCACTCTGGGCCCAGACACCTTCTGTTCCGGTTCCTGCGTGGTGAACACTCAGTCTCTCAATAATCAGTGAGAGACCCAGCCCTGGGCCCAGACCCCTTCTGCTTCAGTTCCTGCATGGTGAACACTCAGTCTCTCAATAATAAGTGAGAGATCCAGCCCTAGGCCCGGACCCCTTCTGTTCCGGTCCCTGCATGTTGAACAATGGGTCTCTCAGAAATCAGTGAGAGATCCAATAATACGTTCTAACATCCAGTGTGTCTTACAAGGGGGGTGTTTGAGAAAAAAGTGTACGCCTCTTAACAATATTTTCTTACTCCTATCTAGCATCATCCTCACTATTCTGTCATATTAGCCAAAATACATGACTGTACTCAACCAGCATTTTTACTTCCAGTTCACCTGTCCCTACATGAGCATTTCCTTTTTCAACATGAAGTACAAAACTAGCACGCACACACATAAATGCACATGCACAGGTGTGCTTCACTAGAAACATTTACAAAGACTGCTGTAATTTCTGCAAAACCCACACTTATTTCATACACTGGAGATAATCAGGCTTTGTTATCTGTATTACTGTATTTTTTTGTATTTTCTGTATTACTAATTTTTAAACAATGATGTCAGAGTAAAACCGTGTATATTATAACTAGAGACATTGTATTTCTTTCTGATTATGTACATTAATTTATTTAACCTGCCTTGTACTTATAGGCATTTGTATTATATCTAATTTCTTCATATCATAAAATGTCTGTCATAAATAAAATCATACATCCAAAATTGTATTATTTACAAATGTTTCTTTGAAGTAAATTCTAAGAAATAGTCTATAAGTACAAGTATTAGATTTGCTCTTAAAATTTGATCAGTTTTTGTCTTCTTATTATAGACATTTTATGTTATCTATTACCACATATTTTCAGATATTTTCCACAATACCACATATGTCCCTAAATGTCCCTAGCAACCTCATTATTACTTTACACAAATTTTAAAACCTGGAGGTGAAAAGTCAGTGTCTAGACTCTCACAGATATTGTTTCAATGAATCCATTGAAATCTCTTACAGGAGATTGCTCTGTTCAGTGCAAAGAAACAGGTTTGTGGTTCAAACAATTCTGAGTCTTCACAGTGATATAATAGTACATTAAAGCAATGCTTGAAGATGGACAAAGTTATTGAGCTACCGTGTCCTCGGAGGTCTGTCAAGGCCACTTGTAAACCAAGGCAGGATCCCAGCAGCAAATGAGGCAGAGCACAGAGATAGGAAGGGCTGGGACGTGGCAGGGCATTGGGTTTATTTACACGAACCTGGCATTCTCACCCTGTTAATATAGATGTGAATAGAAAGTGATGTGGAGGACCACTGGCTTGCACAGGTGCAGAAATAGTATCGAAAATGAAGTCATCATCCCTCAGGATGGCTCAGCCTGGCAGCTTGGGGAGTGCTGTACTCTGGCTGCTTGCTGAGGGATGTTTCATAATATGCGAGTCTCTGTCGTCTACTGAGAAGCATAAGTTACTCTGTGATGATCAAATTTGTTCTGTCGATTATTTTAGAAAATGTAAAATAATCATGCACATTTTCTAAATATCATGAGTCTTAATATGTATAGCTGATCTGTGATGAAAGTATGGAAAAACTAAGGTAAGGGGGTATGAGAAATGTACAAGGTTGTCCGCTCTGACACTTCAGGTAGTCTTGTATTTTTAACCAAAATCCTCCTTGGACTTAACCATCATAGCTATTGTGGTGAATAAATTTTTTTGCATAGTTGTTGTTATAAAGCCTTTCTCTTCTTCCTATAAATGTATTATACACATTCAATGAAATTTGATGGCATTAACGTATTTTTGGTTTTTTTATACAAATGATTCTTACTGGTCATTTGAATGACTCTCGATGTTTCATTGTCATCTTTCTGTAGGATGTTCCAATACCCAGTGTACTCCTCTGGGAAATATTACAGAGGCAAATCTCAAACCTAAATAATGGCTCATAATTTCCCACCACTAAATTTGAGAAAGCAAAATTTTCTGTTACCTAAGAGCTTCATTAAGCCTCTAGTGCATATTTGGAAGAGGTCGGCCCTTTCTTGGGTATGTTCTTCCCATTTCTTCCTCAAATCATTTTTAGTTCCCTCAAGGGCTTCCTCATCTCCATTAAAACCAGAGCACAGGTACCCATACGTTGTTGCAAAATTGTTAATCTAAGTTCATCCACAAAGAGATTTGTGTTTTAACACAGAACTGCTTTTCAAAAATCATAGAGTGAAAAGATTTGAGGATTTTAAGAAATTAGAGAGAAACTACTAAGGAAAGCACAAGATATAATCATCTGTATCTAAATGAATTCTGGAGTCACTAGTACACCTAAACACAATAACCAACTGCCTATTTAAAAATCTCCCCATCAGAGGATGGCAGCCTGGTCCCTTCTGGGTCATGGGCCATTATGAAGTAAGTCCAAGGCATTTCCTCAGTAGAGGAAACCAGGTTCACAGATTACTCCATTGGAAAAAGCAAGAAAAGACTGTGGATGCCAATATCTGTTTTGTGTAAGCAAAGCGTCACATTTTGAAGAATATAATGGGTATTCTATGAGAGCTTTGTGCTTTACTAACCTTACAAGCAGTTAAAATGTGTACAAGAAACTATTACATGTAGATAATAATGAAGTATTTCAATTACTTGCAAAGTAATAATAATGTTTGCTTTTAGGAAACTATTCAGTATTTGCATTCTCTTTGAAAGAGCAACAGCAAATGAAATTTAAGAAATGAAAACATTCCTTCAATACAAATCCAGATCTAAAAAAGAACAGAACCAATATTTCAGAAGTTATCTGTGTGTCTTAACATAAATTGATAGCTAAGATAGGTTAGCTTTATATTTTTTAAAGACCTTATTAGAAGTAAGGTCATTTACAGTGGTACCTTGGTTCATGAACATTTCTGTTCATAAAAAATTAGGTTCTCAAATAAAAGCACTTAACAAAATTTTGCTTCTGTTCACACACCCCAC